TTGATTAATTCCAAATATTTTCCTAAATATTCATTTCAAAATTTTTTTTGCAAACCATTGAAACTTTTGTGAAAATGAAAAAGGAAGAAAATACCACATTTTTATTACTACGTCAATGATAGAAATTTACAATATATATCATACCACATTTTTACTACATCAATGATAGAAATTTACAATATGTGGAAAAACCATCCAACAGATCACATTCACACAACGATTTGTATCATTTAGTAGAACTAATAGGCGGAAGAAGAGCGGGGAGGAAGGAAGGGGGGGGGAAAAAGAGGGTTTATGAATCAACAAAGTAATATATTATCGATATATTTATAAATACTCCGAAACACTCTTATACAAATATAAATGAATGAGATGGGAAGGAATCGATGGAGGAAAAGAGAATGAAACGAAATGTTTTGCTGTATGATTGAATTGAATTGAATTGAATGAAATGAGTAATAATTATTAGAGTGAAATAAATGGTAGATGAAATTGTTTGATTCTATTTGAGTAATTGTATTAATAATAATGAATGAATGATAAATAATTTGAAAATATTATAAACAAATTATATGAAAAGGTATGAAATGAGAAAATTTTTCAAATTATTTTGTTCTAAAAATAATTTAAAATTAAAATAAGAAATTATTGGAATTGAAATTGTATAATTAGTAAATGAAAAAAAAAATTGAAATAACGCTGAAATTATGTCTTATTTTATCGCCTTATTATAAATTCTTATTAAAAGTTTGAAACTTTCACAAACACATATAATATTTATTCCACAGGATTATAACGAATGAATAATGCTTAATGATGACGGTTTTAAAAGGGTTTTAAATTTTAAGAATAATTTGATCATCTTTGAATGTACGAATTAATCCTTATCGTTAGATAGAAATTTGAGCTTTATTCGAATTAAGAGAGAAGTTAAATTATTTCCTAGTCATTTGAGTTGTATAATTTGAAATATCTCGAAGGTATTTTTATTCGATTCCTCATGTGTTCATATTTTCAGATCTATTCATTGATATCACTCTAATTGAATGTGCAAAACTTTTTCATTTAAATGCTGATTATATTGATTATGATTAAAGATATAATTCGCAAATGTATTAGCAATTTTTTAGGACTAATCAGGATAGAATATTTAGATTAGAAATATGATGAATTATCGTTAGGAGGAATATTGGTAGGTTAGGAAAAAAAAAGAGTATTATGCTATTTAGGATTTGTGTAATCAGTGAGTGAATTAGGAGGTATTGTTAAAATTCAACCAAACATATTTAAAATAGCCATTTAAATTTAGGCAAATATTAAATTTGAGCTTATCCAAATTTCGAGGTTGCATTGTTAGTCTTTCATATATCAAATGCAATTTCGTATAGATATCTTCCGATATTTTATACAACTTATATTGAATATGATATGGAACTATATAAAATGTTAATATTCTTGAATAATTATAAATTTTCGTTAATTTAATCTTTTTGAGAAGTATGTCAAAGATGATATGATGATATTCTGTAGTACTTCTAAACTATACTTCTTTTTTAGTGCTAATGCTATTTCCTGAATTCAATATTAACATTTATTTTGGTTTTACTTAGAAATCAATCGTGTAATCTCCACTTATGGCACTTGGAATGAAAAAAGAGTAACTCACAAAATATAAAATAAACAAATAAACAAACGATGAAAGCAAGCAGCAGTGATGGTTGTGGTAAAAGCAGCAGCACCCTAATCACATGTTTCCGTTAAATAATTTTCATAAATATATTCAAACTTTCATATTTGTTGAAATTTTCTGTTACTAAATTCCTAAATTTCATTTTATTTTTTAAATATAAATAAAGATATTGCATCCATCGACTGAATCATAATTCATGATCATAATTCATGATTAATTTATGATTAGAGAAAACACAAAAACAATTTCTAATTTCTAATTTATCAAAATATATTAATTGATATCAAAATAAACTATGTAATACTTTTGGGATAAGGAAATGAAACGAACATGCAAACAAAAATTTTCTTCGGAACATTTAATTTCTCCAACGTTTTGTGATATGATAATAGGATTAATTGTACAATCCTGAGAATAAAGTCTGATCAACGCTAGTAATTTTAAATCCGCCTGCTAATTGTAGTATTAGTTTGGTGTAAATAAATTCAGATAATTATGATATTTGTTTGGGTGTAAATAAATTTAGGTGTGAGCAAATTTAGGAAATTGAAGAAATAAAAAGATGACAGCATTATAACGAAAAATTCATTGAGCTTTTAATAAATTGAAACTTTAAGCGATTATTATCAAATTTAAGGAAATTATAATTTATTAGCAATACAGAATGGATAATTTATGAATATATGATAAGAAGAAATTGTGCAATTTGGATGAAAATTCAAATGATTTTAGCATTCTAATTTCACTGTTATCATTACAATCATCAATTTCAAGGACACCATTCACATATGGTAGTGTGTGTGTGTGTGTCAATATAGTATAAGCAAAATGAAATTCTTCAATTATTTATTGCTTTTGCTGAATTGTGAACTGTTCTGTCAACTTAATCTAAATCCGTATAATTTGATGAAATAGGCTTTGAAGAAGTAAACAATCTTATGCAAATGAAATATTGCTGAATATATTTGTATATCTAACACTCTCTTATCGCTCATTTTGTATATTTGCGAAAGATAGAAAACTGGTTTGTAATACTATCCGGTTAGCACCAATCAATGGTCATTCTGTCAACAAATTAATGATCCCTTTACTTCAAAATTTCACCATATCTTCTTAGCCTAGTCTATTCTTCTCCGTTCATAAAATGTTATTATAGTCCTATAAACTGGATAACCAAACTTTCTTTGTATTTGATCTTATGTGAAAATTAAATACTAATCAAATTCCATATTTGAAGAAGAGCTGAGAATGTTAGCAATAAATTTTAATTTGAGAGCATAATAATTTATATGTTTGAAATATTACAAGTTACCGATATCATCCAGGAATTTTTCGTATATTTTAATAAGTTACCATCAAGTGAAATTATTATTAATTTTGTAAATGTCCCTGTCATTCATTCTGAAACATCAAACCTTTAACAATTTAATTCCTTTTCTCATTTGTTAAAGCTATTTTGAACAGGTAACAAAGCTTTACTTTCACCTATATGATCAACTCAAATACATCAAAATAGTTCCGATATTAAGTGAAGGAAATTATGAAGTGCATTTTCTTTTTCTATTTTCTTTATTTTTGTCAATCTACTGATAATAAAAGAAGTAGTCAACAACTTATCATTAAGACATTTAAACTCAATCAATTGTATGTTAGAATCAGATGCCACAATTCCAATATGCCTTCTTCATTTTACGTTTATCTTTCTTAGTTTTACCAACTTTAATTTACATACTTTCTTGCCAGAACAGAGGCAATTCCCATATCATATTGAATTATCCCCTATGAATATGGCTCAACTTCGTTTCCACGAGAATTATTGCCATCTTATTTACAACTTTTATCAAAATATCACTCAATATAGTTGTTATTTCCTCTTTCGTAAATTGAATAAACTACTTTTGTCTTATTGAAAAATTTATTTTTAAAAAAAAATGAAATTAATCAACAATGACAACAAAAAAAAAATATATGGCAACTTGGCAAGAAATAATATTTCGATATTCGGATATAACATAAAAATATACCCTACAAGAAAGAGAAGATGCTTCTTTTCTCCCTCCAGAAAGAGAAGATGCTTCTTTTCTCCTTCCAGAAAGAGAAGATGCTTCTTTTCTTCTTAATTCATTCGATCATCCGGTTAATCGATCTACCTGTACAACTGGACAAAGTAATACATAACCATTTTCATACATGAGGCTTATTACAGCAAATCTTTCGGATTCACAGCTTTTTATGAATGAATTTGTTGTTAAAATGTTTGATTTCACAAAAGAAAAGGAGAAAGATTCTTCTTCAGTTCTTCGTCAATTCACAAATTAATCCACCAGAATCATAACAAAAAAAAAAAAAGGAAATTCCGGAAACCCAGAAGGGAAAACGGAAAGGGAGGAAAAGAATATATCGGACAAATAATAGCAGCCTCACTACAATAATTACTGCCAGTAATAAAATGAAAAAATATATATATCTCAATACAAAATTGTTAAGAAAATATATCATAAACAGAGGCCTCTAATGAATTTTAGGCACTACGTCGTTCAAAGACATATATCATTATGTACATAAAAAGCCAAAAAGAAAATTATAGAGCACACCGTGTGATTTTTTGATCCCACGTTAAATTACGTCAATTACGTCGTTAATTTTTGGATTATTATTCCATTTTATATTGCAAAAAATTTCCTTTCAATTTGTTCTTTTTTCAAGTAAATTTCAATTATAAGAATTAAAACTTAACTGAAAACTTTTAAAAATAACACATTAATAAAAGGAATATTTAAACCAAAATTCTATTCAATGTGAGATATGGACGTGGGAGGGAAAGAGAGAAGAATTTCATCTCAGATATCTCTCTGGAAGAAGGAGTAAAAATGAATCGTCCAAAATGACATTTGAGCAAAAATACAATTTACCAAAACTGTCAATTAGAACAGATGGCATAAGATGCAATTACATTACATATATATTAATTACTAATACATTTTTTTAAATAAAAATGATCTCTTACAATAAAAAAAAATTTTAATGTAACGAAGTTCATCAAATTTAATTCTGAAAATTGAACAGAGTGATCGAAATGTTCGCATTCATAAATGTCTAATTATTTGAGACATAAATTATTCGAGATTTCATGCGTGAAAATATTTTGGAAATTTTATTGTGAACGATAAATTGAGGACGGGAGAGATAAAGGAGAAGGAGGGAGCATGATGATAACAGCTGTAGCATAGTGACACCTGAGCAGATAAAAAAGTAAACAAACAAACCAACGAATATTGCAATTGAATTCAATTTCAAAATTAAAGGAATATCAGAAATCTTTTGGAAACGGTACAACTGGTGTTTTTAAACTTTCGGGACTACGGCTTACAAAATTGCTGCGGCCATAAGTTGGACAACCGTTACCGTTTAAATTCATAGCAGCACCAAGAAATGGCATTAATGGTGACATCATTGCTGCTGTAGCCATTGCTGCCATATGAGATGGATTTGGTGGAAATTGAAAGATTGGTTGCTGAAGGCTAGCGGTTGTTGGAGTTAATTTAGAAGCAGTCATAGGTGATCCTAAAGTTCCAAGCATTGGGCTTACTGCTGCTGTTGTAAGTAATGATGTAAATGGACTCGTTGGACATAAACCAGCAGAAAGTGAAGCAGCTGCATAAAGTTGACTGAATTGAGTGACCAGAGGTGATGTATTTGTGTACGCATTACCTGTATTGTTGTGGAGGAAAAAAGGTGAAGGTACCAGTAGATTATTGGATGATGATGATGACAATTCGGATCCATTTGAGAATGCTGCTGTAGCAGAAAGATTAAGTGGACGTGGTTTAACCCGTTTCAGTGAAGGTATTTGGGTACTATGTGTTCCACTTCGACCATCCGTTATTGTCGCTGAGGGATTTGATGGATATGATAGTGACTTCGATAATGGGATACTGGATGATGGAAGTGTTGAAGATGATGATGATGTCACTGTGGTGGTTGTTTCAGGAGCGCTACAACTGAACATCGGTGTTTTCCTCTTTCTGCATATCACTCCGACATCAGCATTCGCATTGATCGGATTCTGGAAACCACATGGTGGAGAACAACTTACCGATACACCACCATATGAACATTGCCCACTGGTAGAAGGTGTCGTGGAAAAATCCGGTGCTGCCACTGCTGTTATTGTGGTGTTCATTGTTGCCCTCACTCCCGGTGTATCGCCTCCACCCATTGATCTATCTGTTCTTACTTCCAATCCACCATTACTTTCTGCATTCTTTGTGCTGAAATGATGATGAAAATCTCCAAAATGTAGGCAAAGAATTCGATTGTATATTTTACTTGTCTATGTTTAAGAAATACCTTATTTTTGCATCGAACTATAACCTAGAAAATCATCAACAATCTTCGTCCTTTCCAATCTTGATATGTTAATTGTACTTCCATCTTGAAGAATCAGGCAATACAAAATAAAATAATACCTTGCGGAAGGTGATCCACTCATATTGGAAATACAAATGGCTTGCATGGTTTGCGCATCAATGACAGTTGAACCAGGAATCACTGAAGATGGAACAGCTGGTGAGCTGCTACTTCGCATTAAGCTATGACAATCCGCTGAAATTTGACGTAAAATTTTTTGGAATCGCAAAAAAGAAATTTCAAATAATTTATCATTTCGTTTATACTATAAGAAAAATCAAACCAGTAGCAGTGCAATCAGTTGAAATACCATCAACATCTCGTGCAATTGCACATTGCAATGCATCAGGTGTACATCCTTCAGGAAATGTCACAAATCGATATACGAATTTCTGTCCAATTACCTATAAGAGATCATCAATAATAGAAGTTTAGAAAATTTAAAAACCATCACAGAATTATATCCGTAGAAAATATGGTATTGCATTGATCACTTTCCTTTCCTTAATATTTATTTCATATCTTTTCATTGTAATTGGAAGAAAATATATAAAAATACATTTGACAAATTTCAATCGTTTCAAATATTTATAAGAATGAAACAGACTGTTTAATTATTTAGAGCGAATGTTGCCAATTAATTGTCTTATGATCTACAACCTTTTCTTATCCTTTAGTATAATTTGCTATCTCTAGATTTAACAACTGATAATATTATAGAGGAATGATTCTGATCTAATGATCAAAAGATTAGCCAATAGATTAGATAAGATTTTCACCTTCTTGATGATATTCTTATCATAATAGTATCGCAATGCACGTGATAATTTATCATAATTCATATGTGGTTTACTTTTACGTTGTCCCCATAATCGTGCAACCGCTTCTGCGTCCAATAACTGCAAAGTCAGAATATCGAAAAACAAATTAGCAGCATCTGCCTTAAATGAATTTTTTTAATACCTATCAATCATATCTTCCCCTCTTCTCATTTTCTTGCGAAGTATCCTACCCGAATCAAAAGAGAAATATTTACTATTTATAGCTCGAATGAATGACCTTGTGCTTATTACACTGCACTGTACCAATACAACAATACTACTTCGATACTACCGTAAGGATATAACTGTATTCATTAATCTACTTAAATATGCAGGCTGTATGCTCCTCCTGATTCTTCCAATTTGAGCTTTATATATTTTATGTAAATCATTTCATTTCTCAAATCCAATCATTAAGAGATTTATTATAATCAGGTTATGCTCTGAAAATTTTTCAATAACTTTTGAATATCACATCAATCAATTTCATTTCTTCATAAAGACGGAGATACAGAATATCACAGATGAGCACCAAGAGAAATGTAGCAACTCATACTCAACCACTCCATGAACAATCAAAAATTCTTAATAATAGATATAATCTAAAAGTTTCCTATTTGTTTCAGAGTTCAGCCAGAAACCCAATTTTGCAAATATCCATCAAGAGATTGTTGAATTCCATCTAAGACAGAATTTAAATCTAACCTCAATTATCAATATGATAAACCTTTTCCGATATGTAGTACTCAGTAAGTTTGATTTCCTTCCTCAGATTCCATTTTCTAACTATTATCTCTTCTACTGAATGCTTAACTCATCAACAGTTAAGCATTTAGTAGAAGAGATAATAGTTAGAAAAAGAAACGAGGTCTCGAGCTATCCCTTCTACTCTTAAAGTGTTCGACAATATCGAACACTCCCTGATAATTTGAAGTAGAAAAAAAGATTTCAAATTAAAGGCACCTTAAATTCGCCTTGCTGATTTGTCCATTGGATCAGATCGGTATGTTCACCCTTAAGTAGCAACTCTAGAAGGAATTGCCACAAAGTAATATTGGAATCAGTTGTAGCGAGTGTAGATTGTGAATTATTTGATGGTTGTAGTATATTACTTTTAACATCTTTTGGTGTGGACCTTTCGCTATCACAGCTTTCATGAGTAAGATTAGCTGCAACAGTAACTGACTGATCAGCAACCGGAAATGTTATCACTGGTGGTTTTCCATCGATCAGTATGCTTTGGTCTAGAGTTACTGCTTGTGAAGTAGTTGACGGACTTCGAATAGAGCTGCTACGACTACTGCTACTGTTACTACTGGTCACCCCACTGGAAAACGTGAGGTTACCAGGGCCAGATTGGCTGTAAGACGGTAATGCAGTTGAATGTAGCAGGATTGTTGTTGCACTGAGCGATTTATCACCGCTCCTTGTTCCTCTTACACATTCAATTTACTCCAGAAATACGACAAACGTTCTCGATATACGAATTGCCAAAAGCTGAACGCTTTCACTGAAATTTGTAAAATATTTTTACTAATCGAAATACTTTTCCTATCTATTAACATATGTGATAACATATGCGAACATATGCGACAAGTATGCGAACAGTTTAAATAAGTTACAATTTAATGAATTTGATTAAAAAAGAAAACAATTAATTAATTACAATGAACCCTAATAAATTGTGATACCAAAATATATCGATATTATACTGCAATGATCAAAGCAATCAACTGAGTATTATAAAAAAAAACGTTTCTAATCTTTTCAGGCATTAAAGCTAATCTTTGTAATCGAATATTTAGTTTTCATCTACATTCGAATAAGAAATAGTTATTCTCTTTGATATGTTTACAATTATCAAATATATTTTGAAATGTAAAGAATTCCAAAATCACGAAATTATTGCAATTTCTACGGATTCCCACAGCACAAATATTATATCATATAATTTGCTCAATGCGTTTGCTAAAAATGCCATTCACCTGAAAATGCCACTCAATGCTTACTAAAAACAATAAAACAGTCATGAACTACCGAAAAAGATCGATCACATTTTAAGATTTACTATCAATAAGGTGGTAAGAATGATTTTATCATTTCTTCATACTATCAAATTCTGTTAAGTGTCACACTAGAATGTGATGCTTGCAGATAATTTTGCATCCCGAAATTTCTTGAACTTTATAAAATTCATTCATACTGATATTTACCGAAACCTTGACGCCCTTATAGCAATTCTTCATACTATCAAATTCTGTTAAGTGTCACACTAGAATGTGATGCTTGCAGATAATTTTGCATCCCGAAATTTCTTGAACTTTATAAAATTCATTCATACTGATATTTACCGAAACCTTGACGCCCTTATAGCAATGATTATTAAACATCTAATAGTAGTAAAATGCTAAGATATCTAATAAAAAATTATGAAAACTATTAGATCGATCTCTATCAACTGCTCACATTAGAGCTAACATTGACCTATAGATGGAATTAACCAAGCTAATTAATTAATTAGCATCAAAGAGTTCAAACTTCAAAATCTATTTTAAATGAGTTAAATTTTCTGAAGTAAAAAATTCAATGTAAATAAATACAGTCAACATGGACATTAGGAAATGAAATGATGATGAAGTGGAGGCGGAATAAGGAAAAAAACGGAACGGAAAATGGGAGATGAAAGGTTATGATAAAAATGTTTCTCTCCTTCGTATGAATAAAGATATCACAATTATCAATCACAAAATATTTCTTAAATTTAAACTGAATAGAAAAGGAGAAATCAAAAACTTCTATAAGCACTAAAAATATCTCTAATAATCAATTAATAATATGAGAGGAACACAGTACAGTATCTATGAAACAGATGTCACTGTTATCAGTGTATCAATGCTATCATGCACATAACGCACACATACACACACACACATACACATACACATACACACACATATATACACAGACACAGACACACACATATACACATATTAAAATTAGGTGAAATGATTCATATAATAAAATTATTTTATTTACAAAAGATATCAATGAAATGTTAGCAAGGATAGCTATAAAAAATGACTTCTTTAAAAGTCATTCTCTATTTCATCTTATACAAAAAACGTAAAGAAATGAAAAGAAAAAAATTTTTAAATTCTGAAAATTTGAGATGTCAGAATTGTTGACAGTATCGTTACAATCGCGGAGGTAACACTGATATTTGGGTATGACAATTTGCCTTATCCTAATGAATGCCATATATCGCATAAGAATATCTGATAAAGAGAGAATAAGATTTGAAGATATAATAATGTTAAAGGTGATAGGTAGGGATTAGCAGATTATATGGGAGGAAGAAATTGGAATTATTGCATTTAGTTGGATAAAATAAATTCGTTGAATTTTCAAATGATTGAATAATTAAAATGTAACATCTCATTCCTTTCTCGCTTTTAATCCCATCTTTTCTCTTTGTATTTTTTCCCTAACTATCAAATTTCGTAACAAAATGATAATTTGCAAAAGTTATGGAAATCGATATCTAATCTTATCTTTCTTTCTACATTTGTAATTTTCCGATTTTTTTAGTCGGTATTGTTATCCAATACATACTATATAGTATATCGTATCATTTTTCTTCCTAATATCAGCAAGAAAACCGGAAATGTTATTTCTAGCGGTTTTATAATCCGGATCGAATATGTTAAATTCTTAATTAACTATAATAACCGGAATGTTTTTCCGAATGATAAAAATAAATGGTAAAAGTTATCACTGTTAAATGTTAAACGAAATGAAGAGCTCATTAACTTTATTTTGTGAGAAATATTTTCTTTCATTTTAAAGAAAATGAAAGAGAAAAAATTAAATGACATTTTTCGAATTATTGTGAGAAAAGTAACTTTCCTGGGAAATGCAACGTTTTTCCTTTTTAAAAATCTCCCATGAATAAAATGTATACAAATTTTTACGAAGTTAATTTCGAAAAAATTAATCAATAATTCTATGGGAAAGAAAAACCATTATAAATTTACCTTATTAAGTAGAAAAGAACTTCGCGGAAATTTTTCTTATGCACACTTGCGTATAATATAAAATGAATCAATGATAATGTAATGAATGATATTAGAAGGCTGATTTTGCGGGAAAAACAAAAGCGGAATTAGATATAATCATTGTTGGAAAGAATCGTAACTATGAAGGGATTGCACCTTTTTCGTTGGTACTGCTATTTCCAAACTCTTTATCTCCTTGGAAATGTAGACATTATCAATTATCGAAACATTCTTGATCATTGATATCATAACAAAGCCATTACTATTTAAGCATACCTAAAGTAATAAGTAAGTCCTCAAACAAAACAGTCTGCCGTAGTGACGAGAACAACAGTATATTTAACAAGAAGTTAGAGGAAAATAAGGATAAATGTTTTGATGAAAATTTGGGTACCACCCGAACTCAACATAAAATTATGAGGATGAGAAAGAGAAATTGTGCGCAGTGTAGAAGATCATTGCTGAAACAAAAGCCGGTTTCCACATTTCCTTTTTACCGTTTCTTCATCTTCAGCTGTCATCACCATAGATGGAGAGAGAGGGAGACAGAGAGGGGTAATGAATCATTGTAGTGCAAGTTTTCCTCCCTATTTTTAAGCAAAATTGGCAGTGACATGACGGAACTTACGTCACGCTCATTTGGTTTATCGTTCAACTATCAATCGTTTTGCCCATTACAAGAGGGAGATGGGGAAAAGTGTACGGGGAGAAGGGGGGAAGGAGCGGAAGAAGAGATGCGGGGAAGAAGATACACTGAAGTAGAATTTACATGTTACTTTTAAAATGTTAAGTTTGAACCACGATCGCTCCTCTATTTCTTTCAAACTTTCCGGAATAGTCAATCAATAGTTCACAGGTTTACGTGGTATAATTTTAAAAAGAAGGAAAAAAGAACAAAGCCTTAAAAAATCAAGATGAGATAAATGATACGATGAATTAGGAAGAAGCATAACATAGAGGGGAGATGACAAATGTTGTACTGTACTGAAATATGAGCAAACCTCAAATGATATAACTGAAGCAGTAGTTGTAGAGAATAAATTCCTGATCGGAAGTGAACATCTATGATACCAAAAATATACTATTTTTTTCAATAATTCGAAGAGAAAGGTATTTTATAGGCATTATATTTCAGTAAGGCTTAAATCCACTTCAAATATTGTCGGATATTTGCAACTTTTTTTTCTTAGAAGATTTTATCAAACTTTGTCCATTAGAATGATGCATAATTTCTAGTTTGGTTACATCCATATCATTTTAGGATTTCGGATAAACGATCATAACGGATAAATGATGCTACATAACAATTAATAGGATTTATTAAAGGAAAAAAAAAGAACTTTGCCCTCTAAATAGCTACTAATACAGATGGGAAAAAAAAAGGAGGAAATTTAACACAACTAAATATCGATGAGGTCGCTGTTTGTGGCGGTGAAACGACAGTTTCAGTGTAATTTGGTGACACTCGTATCATGCGCTACCGTTACCGCCATCTCCGTTATTGTCTTCGTTGCTGTCATCAAAATATCCAACAAAACTTACCATTTTTATTACCGCCTTCTCGCATCCGCTAAATGTAAAGATCATCATCCATTTGCCCTCTTCCGTATCCGCCAAAATTTCGCGACTATTTTTTTGCTTTAAATATTCACAAATTACCGTAACTTCAATCGAAACTGTTCCGATTGTAGTGAAAATTTTATTTTTGTTATAAATTTTTTTGATGAAATGTTAAAGAGAAATAACATGAAAATATAAGATGATAAGAAAGTAATGAATGTTATCATGTTTGAGAAATTATGATAAGTGATTATACAATATCTAAACAACTCAGCAGGTTGATAAATTTTCAATCTTTAAATTTCACTTTGATGAAATCTGAAAAACCGGAAAATTCTGGAAATTTAATTTTCATTGAATTTACTTTTCCCGAATTTCAAACTTTCCCTTATTTTTAATTCATAGATATGTCCAATTTTCTTTTTCTCTCTTTCTCCCTCCCGTTATCCTCCTCCTCCTAAAGACTGTCAGGTGATGATGATACATTCATATCTGAGACAATGATAAATAAAAAAAAGTTTGAAGACTTTGCGATAGATGATTGAAAAGCAGTAGAGAAAAATATGGTAGATTTTCTCGATTAACGGCTTTTCAGAAAAGGTCATTTTCTTCTCCTCTCGCCTCTTCCACTCTTCTTCTTCTCTCTCCTTCCCTCTCTCCCTTTCTTAATTTCTTTAAACCTTTTATTTTCAATAAGAAAAACAAACTTTTTTCAAATGTGAGCAAAAATTTTCAAAAGAAACTTATTGAACAGTTGACTATGATTCAATCAAGTTTTTGTCTTAAAACTTTTGAAAAGTTTTCGTCTTTTTTCTTATCATCACAATAGTGTAAGAAGGAGGCATACTTTATTTACTACAACTGTTCTTCTTTCATTGCTTATTTTAATCATTCAATTTTTCACCCCGTTCTTATAATACCTTAATAATTCGAGAAATACCAGAAGATTTCTTACACCTTAT